GGGGGGGTGGGTGCAGAGAGAGGGGCAGAGAGAGAACGAGAGAGCCCTTTCTTCTCCCCTTTGATTTACACCCACTTTCCTTGGGTCCGTCCCCTAGGTCGACCCACAAACCTACATATACCATGTACAGAGAGGGGTCAGGTGTTCCATGGGATGATGTAATTAGCATAATCATGACAGCCCTCGTTAGCATATTGAGGGGTGTCAACTTTAATATGCATTTCGTGGATAACGAAGCAGAGTTCATTCGCCGGACACATGGCCCTTGCAATGTGCCCAGGTGCCCCAGGGCAGAGCCGTCCTGTCCCCCAGGGCTCTCTCCCCCAGCTGCATGGGGCAGCGTTATCAGCTTCGGCCTCCACAGGACGCACCCTGGGACTCATAGTTTTGTCTTGCGAGTGTTTGAGGCATTTCTTCAATCAGCCTCAACTTTTGCTTTCCCAGGCTGTTTGTCTTAGTTTCTCACAGGCCTGGTTGCTCGGCTCTCACATCCCACCCCACGACTCAAACACTCCAAGTTCTTCTTTGACCATTGTGATCTCAAAGCGTATAGGGAAAAAGAAGACAGAAGGTAAGAGAGCATATATCTAACTGCTGCAAGGCATACTATGAAAAGCAAAACTTTGCACAGTATTACAATACTAATATTTCCAAGCCATCTTCCCCACCCTGTGAGTCCTGAGGATCCCGGTGATGTTACCCATGACCCAGGGTTCCATCCACCATACCAGTTCATCGGTCAAAAGTTCTCTGTTCCTGTTGGCAATCTCCCTCATCTCGGCACGGGTCTCTCTGCAGAGGTGGTGTAGAGGTGCCTTGTGGGTGGGGATGCAGCCTTCTCCCTCCGTCAGACTCGGCACACCGCACAGTCCGAGTTAAATTTTCTAAAGGTATTTGAGGTCACACAATCACATTAGAAGGTCAATAAGGATTTAAATGCGAATACAATTTAATATTCAGGTACAATCTGTTAATGCTTAATTTGTGGGACCAGACCCCTCCAGCCAGTCTGATTCTTTCATCTTGCTGTTGGTTATATGATATTTGTAAGCACCAGTGGGCAATCACAGGTGACCCACAGGCTTCCTTAGTTTTGGAGGCAATTCCCAATAAGGTAACTTAAGGCACAGCTCCAGGTTGGCCTTCCAATAAGTGGACTCTCCACACTCAGCAGGTATGATTCCACAAATTACATAACAATGTAAGCAGATTACAAATCATAACTAGCCAGTAATGCCTATAACTATTGAAAGCACTAAAAGTAACAGAGGTCTTTGGTCGTCCAGGATCAATATCCTGTAAAACAAAAACATGCACAACAAAACAACGATGGTTAGAAAGAAGGGACAACCCCCTGGTATTGATACGGTATTCTTTCCCATGGGCATCAGTAGCCACCCATGAACAGGTACTGATGGGAGTTTTTAGGGTGAGGGGTACTTGCCCCACGGTGGGCAAGTCTACTAGAACAGGTTGTCCAGGATAATGGAGCGGGTTGCAGACTCTTTAGTCTCTTCTTCACATTAACAATTTTAGAAGGAGGAAGTGCAGGCGCTTGCTGTAAAAGTCTTATAGAGGTAGGTGGGGACCCAAATTTCCATTTTCTTCCTATTGAATCTACCCAGGCTTGTCCCTTCAATAGGTCAAGTCCCAGGATATTTGTGAGAAAATTTCCCAGAATCATAATAGTTTCTGCTGCAGTTTCATTGCCAGGAAACCAGCATTTCACCCGAGCAGTCAGCTGTGGCTTCGAGTCCCTGAAAACATCTGTAACCCAAATCTGCGTTTTGCCAGCAATTATGCCGTTCCGCTTGGCAACATCAGTTTGGAGTGCTGAGACCTGAGCACCCATATCGACTAGAAATGTAACTGGAGTTGTAAGGGGGACGAGCAGAAAAGTAATTCCCAACTCTCCTTTAGTATTCTCTGTGAGCCTCCTTAAGTGGAGCCACGCACCATCCCCCGGCTCACTTACTGGGGATGGCACCTCCACTTTCCTGATCCTAAATCAATCACGTTCTCTTCAGGGGCAATTGGTGTTTGAGAAGCAATTACCACGATCTCGTTAGTTTTCAGTTCTGTCCCTCCCTTCGACCGAAAGGTCTGCTTGGATGGGGGCGGGGGGGTTGGGGGAGAGGGGCAGCTTCCTTAAATACTTTACAAAATCTCCCCGAAGACCGAGATCTCTTCTGACTTTAGACATGTAAAAGCTGACGTGTCCTTTTAACTTCTGTCGGAGGCGACAGGCACTGCTCAGAAGCAATCTGTCCCACGCGCTCTCGTACTCATCTCAGCACATCCTGTGGCTGGGATCCACTTTTCTACATTTGTTTATGCACGCAGCCAAGGGGAAATGCAACTGGACACACTTACCTTCCTCATTTCAGAGAGGCCAAAAGCAATTTAAACCCCCCTCCAAAGAAGGATCCATGACGTCTGTTCTTCAGATAAGGGGCAGCTGCTCTCCGCCGCATCCAGCGCACCACTTCTGCTGCTCTTTCCAGCCTTTCCTACAAGGGGTTGGGAACAAGAGCTGGACGTTTTCACTTCCTCTGCAATCACAATTGCTTTGACACTCCCCCAGACCTCTCGCACCAGCACGCCTCCCTCTGATTCCAGGGCACACCAGGGTTACACTCACCTCCCTGCCCGCACCATCACTACTCGCCAAAGGCCACCCCGTGCTGTTTAGCTCCTGTGCCCCAGTTTGGAATGAAAACCAGCAGCAAAGAAATACTGCTCATAGAAACATATTGAAATTTAAAAGGCTTTTGGGTTCAGAAAACCTCCACCCCGCAACAGGGAGTGCCCTACTGCCAAAGCTCCAACACAGCCCGTTCCCCTCAGTCACTCTCCCGCTCTTCTGCTGGGACAGACTGAATTTCATTCCACCTGCTGATCCCTGTGCAGCCCCTCCAACTACTCCTGGCAGACAAGTTCATTAAACTTTACACAGCAGCCTGCTCAGTAACGCTCAGCTCGGGATACTGCTGGACTTTGGAAAAGTCAGCTCC